AGGATGTATTAACCAGCTTTGCATTAGTTCCTATGGGAACAAATGCTTTGACTTATGAACCGTGCCTTGACATATGAACAAAAAACAGCCGGAATGGATTAATCGGTTTTCAATGCATTCCTATGGGAAATGCTGCTTTGACTTACAAACATTTTGACTTACGAACACCATTGCAATACGGATTAAGTTCAAAAGTCAAGGCACCACTGTATTTGGTAACCTTAAGATACACTTAAAAGAAGAACAGCTTTTATTATGTTCTGTGCATGTTTTCATATTGATGTCTTAGCTTTACATGTTACCTTTTCATCCGAATGGATTTCTCCTTCCATTTATTCCCATAGCGAGATACCTGTACCATGAAAGAAAGAACAAAGGACTGGCCGTTGCTCAAACTTACATTAGTCATGAATGCATCTTCACTGGGTCATCAAAGAAATCTGAGCATCTGTCCCTCATAGTACAGAAATTAATCAAATGATTTGTTGTTGTTTAGTTGTTAAGTCGTGTCCGACTGTTTGTGACCCCATGGACCAGAGCAGTTTTTTTGATGTTGAGCTTCAGACCATTTTTGCTTTCATCCTCATTAAGAGGTTATTTAATTCCTCCCCACATTCTGCCACCAGAGTGGCATCATCTGCATATCTGAAGTTGTTGATATTTCTTCTGGCAATCTTGATTCCGGCTTGGGATTTATCCCGTCCAGCCTTTCGCATGATGTATTCTGCATATAAGTTAAATAAGCAGGGAGACAAAATACAGCTTTGTCGTACTTCTTTCCCAATTTTGAACCAATCAGTTGTTCCATATCTAATTCTAACCGTTGCTTCCTGTCCCTCATATAGGTTTCTCAGGAGACAGATAAGGGGCTCCCATTCCTTTAAGAACTTGCCATAGATGGTTGTGGTCCACACATTCAAAGGCTTTTGCGTAGTCAATGAAGCAGAAGTAGATGTTTTTCTGAAAGTCTCTGGCTTTGTCCATAATCCAGCGCATGTTAGCAATTTGGTCTCTAGTTCCTCTGCCCCTTCAAAATCTAGCTTGTACTTCTGGGAGTTTTCAATCCACATACTGCTGAAGTCTACCTTGTAGGATTTTGAGTATAACCTTGCTAGCATGTTAAATGAGTGCAATTGTATGGTAGTTGGAGCATTCTTTGGCACTGCCCTTTGGGATTGGGATGTAGACTGATCTTTTCCAATCCTCTGCTGAGTTTTCCAAACTTGCTGGCATGTTGAATGTAGCACCTTAACAGCATCATCTTTAAAGATTTTAAATAGTTCAACTGAAATGCCATCACTGCTACTGGCCTTGTTGTTAGCATTGCTTTCCAAGGCCCACTTGACTACACTCTCCAGGATATTTGGCTCCAGTTCAGCAATCACACTATCTGGATCTTTCTGATATAATTCCTCTGTGTATTCTTGGCACCTCTTCCTGATGCCTTCTGCTTCTGTGTGGTCCCTACCATTTTTGTCCTTTATCATCTCCATCTTTGCACAAAAGGTTCCTTTAATATCTCTAATTTTCTTGAACAGATCTCTGGTTTTTCCCTTTCTATTATTTTCCTCTATTTCTTTGCACTGTTCATTTAAGAAGGTCCTCTTATCTCTCCTTGCTATTCTTTGGGAGTCTGCATTCCATTTTCTGTAATTTTCCCTATCTCCCTTGCATTTTGTTTCCCTTCTCCTCTCTGCTATTTGTAAGGCTTCATTGGACAGCAACTTTGCTTTCTCGCATTTTGTTTTCTTTGGGGTGGTTTTTGTTGCAGCCTCTTGTACAATGTTATGAGCCCCCATCCATAGTTCTTTAGGCAGTCTGTCCACCAACTCTAGTTTCTTAAATCTGTTCTTCACTTCCACTGTGTATTCATAAGGGATTTGGTTTAGATTAGACCTGACTTGCCCAGTGGTTTTTCCTCCTTTCTTCAGTTTAAGCTTGAGTTTTGCTATAAGAAGCGGATGATCAGAGCCACAATTAGCTCCAGGTCTTGTTTTTGCTGACTGTATAGAGCTTCTCCATCTTTGGCTGCACAGAGATAATTAATCTGATTTCGGTATTGCCCATCTGGTTATGTCCATGTGTAGAGTCACCTCTTGTGTTGTTGGAAAAGAGTGTTTGTGATGACCAGCTTGTTCTCTTGACAAAACTCTATTAGCCTTTGCCCTGCTTAGTTTTGAATTCCAAGGCCAAACTTGCCTTTTGTTCCTTTTATCTCTTGACTCCCTACTTTAGCATTCCAGTCCCCTATAATAAGAAAAACATCTTTCTTTGGTGTCAGTTCTAGAATGTGTTGTAAGTCTTCATAGAATTGGTCAGTTTCAGCCTCTTCAACATTGGTGGTTGGTGCATATACTTGGACTACTGTGATGTTGAAAGCTCTGCCTTGGATTTGTATTAAAATAATTCTATCATTTTTGAGATTGTATCCCAGTACAGCTTTTCCCACTCTTTTGTTGACTATGAGGCCTACTCCATTTCTTCTATGGGATTCCTGCCCACAACAATAGATATGATAATCGTCTGAATTGAATTCACCCATTCCCGTCCATTTTAGTTCACTGATGCCCAGGATGTCAATGTTTATTCTTGCCATCTCCTGTATGACCAAATCCAGCTTACCAAGGTTCATAGATCTTACATTCCAGGTCCCTACACAGTATTTTTCTTTGCAGCATCAGACTTTCCTTTCACTTCCCGGCGTGTCTGCAGCTGAGCATCCTTTCGGCTTTGGCCCAACCACTTCATTAGCTCTGGAGCTACTTGTACTTGTCCTCCGTTCTTCCTCAGTAGCATGTTGGACACCTTCTGGCCTGAGGGGCTCATCTTCCAGCATCATATCTTTTAGCCTTTTGTTTCTGTTCATGGGGTTTTCTTGGCAAAGATACTGGAGTGGCTTGCCATTTCCTCTTCCAGGTGGATCGCATTTAGTCAGAACTCTCCACTATGACCTGTCCGTCTTGGGGGTCCCCGCATGGCATAGCCCATAGCTTCTCTGAATTACACAATCCTCTTCATCACGACAAGGCGGCAATCCTTGAAGGGGAATCAAATGATGCACAGATTTAAATACCCTTTCTTTTTTAAACACAAGTTTTAAAGACTCTAGAAACCAAGCTAATTGCAGATCTAAAAATTAAAGACAATGTCTGGAAAAAATCCTTACAAAATCCTGAGTCCTGTAAAGTCACATTGGTTTCAGCAAGCAAGGACTTCACTTTCCTGTGGAAATCAATGGCACTTGAGCAGCATAAACTATTAAGGACTCCCCTTTATTTCTGGACAGTGGATATAAGTGCACAGTTGATTGTGCCATTGGGAGTAAAGTCAAATTTATCTCGCCAAGTTTTATCCAGCCATCTAATGATAAATCCTGAAATTTATGTGTAATACCTGAAGTTGAGTGAGAAGTTACAAATAACATTTAGAAGAGGGAGTGCCTTAATTGCTGAAAGCTTATGATTGCCATAGCAGGAGCCTAAAGCAGTGTGCAAATTGACCTCCTTCATTTTGTGACTGGACTTCAGGATATAAGCATATCCTTGTACATCTGCTTTCTTTCTATTTGACTTCACATAAGTTTGCCTAAAGTCATGTCTATGTAGCACTTTGATTTCAGCTGTAATGAGAGGTTATCTGTAATGTGCACAGAAACAGTCCATGAGGAGAGGTACAAGAATGCTTGTATTGCAGAGATGTAATCCAGGCACACTTTCTGGTTTGAGAAAGGATATTTCAAAGGAATCTGTACTTCATTCCTGAAACCCATACAAAGCAAGATAATTTGCAAATGACATGGGTTGGGAAATGTGCCTCCTGTGCACTCAGACACTTCCAGGTGTTAAGGAATTGCCATGATGTCTGTTCACAATTTAGCTTTTGGATGGTAAATTCCCAGAAACGGTGGTAAGATTCACCCATTGAGATCAAATGTCTCCATCAAATGATGCGCAAACGTTGCTGATCAGCTCTGGGCGCGACACCTCAGTGCCCCTTTTTAATTCCGGAGACCTGTTGTGCGGCTCCTGAAGGTGCCGGCTGCAGACTTATCAGCACGCAGCTCCTCGCCTTCCTCAAGAGCCCAAGTCCCGTTCCCAGAGCTCGCCCAGCAGGGGTCACTGCTGCCCCGGCGCAGTCCCGGCACCTCCCCGGGCCCGGTGGTGGCTGCCAAGGCAGGGGAAGGTGAAAGGTTGGCAGGAGCAGAAAGGCAGGCAGGCGGGCGGGGGAAGGAGGCAGCAACGCCGGCTGGCTGCCTGACTGGTTGGGCAGCCGACCTGGCAAGCGGCGCAGAGGAGGGCGCCTCTCCAGAAAGAGGGCAGGACGCGAAGCCTACGGGAGGCTACGGGTCACCGCAGAGGTAGCCAGGTCGCCTTCCTCCCGAGTCCGACCTCCTCGCAGCCAGCCCTGGGAATAGGGCGGGAGACGGCGGCAGGAGGTGTCGCCCACCGCCTCGGGGCTTGGAGCTCAGCGCTGCTGCTGTTACCGCCGCTGCCGCCGCCGCCGCCGTGCGCCTGTTCGCCCGACGCCGTCTTCGGCCATGCCGGCAAAGGGGGACCGAGGAGCCGCGCTTTGGTCTCCCAGCTCCAAGAGAGGGTCGCGCAAAGAGCGCGCGCTCCCCCCTCGGCCGGTCGCTTGCTTCTCGGCGCCTGGAGGATACTGAGGGGCGGCTGCAACCGCGCCGGGACAGGTGGCCCTTGTGGGGGTGCCGTCTCTGCTCTCCCGGCTTCCTTCGGCGGGCGGAGTTGGGCGTCGAGGGGAAGCCCCGAATTCCTCTGACGGGCCAGGCGAGCGTGCCGGAGAGCGGGAGCGGCGTGGTCCGGCGACGGGGGAACAGACATCTCCAGGAAGGCGAGGCAGTGGCAGCCGCCCAGCGCTTCCCGAGCTCCTCCAGCCCCCGCAAGGGGATGTTTCGGTGCTCTGAGGGAGGAAGACGGCGTTGCTGAGAGGAGGCTCTCCCGCCGCCTGCCTGCCTGCTTGCCTGGGGAGCGAGAGGCCCCGCGCCAGCCTGTGGCCCTTTGCGCCGCCCGCCGCCTCACACCCTGCCAGGGGGAGCTCCCTGGCGCTGGTTATTTTGCGCCCACCCCAGGTAACCGGCGAGTCTCTCGGGTGGGGGTGGGGAAGGGGTCCCGGGAAAGGGAAAGCAGGGTGTGTGTGTGTGTGTCCCCGTGTCTGTCTGGGTGGATTCGGGCAGTTTTCCTTTTCGGCGCAGCTCCTTCCTCGCCCTCCCCTCCGCCACCCGCTTCGCCCCTCTCGGTGTTACACAAAAGAGCAATCCCGAAGGGAAGGGAAGGGCTGGAGGTGGAATGTGGGTAATCATTAATCCAAAGAGCACGGCTGGGGTGAGCCCCCCTCGGTGGCAGCCGGCGGTGTGTGCAGAGCGGGCGGGGCCGCCGGCGGGAGAGGAGGAACCAGCCCAGCGCCCTTGGCCGGCACATGTCATCGTGCTCGCAAGCAAGTTCGCTTCGGCTTCCCGAGGACTGTGTGGCTGAAGGGCTGGTTTATTCCTAGGCCCCGGGAACCAATGGGCATCTGGGCAAGCGGGATCGCCAGCTACCCCCCCCCCGTGCCCGCCGGGGGTCCTCTCCCCAAACCCCCGCGGATTCTCATAGCTGAACAAAGAAGCTCGTGGGGCCGGAGAGGAGCCTCTAAAAGGCAAACTTTTGAATAGACTTATCTCTGCGAGCTTTCAGGTGACTACGGTTATTATGACTCCCCCCCATTATGGTCTGGAGACTAATTTTATTTTTCTCCTTATCTACAGGGAAGAAGGACGCTGGCTCTTTTGGTAGGATATCTAAAGAGGATTTCCTTGCGCTGGACTGTTTAGCTCATCTGTCTTATTAACAGCTGGAGTCTCAACTTCACAAAGGCCCGGGATAATCTGCTCCTTTCTGCCTCTTCGGCCTGGGCTGCTGAACCAAATAATTTATTACTTACCCATACTGAGGTCTTTTCTTTCCTCCTCTCCCCATGTATTAGTCTTGGGTTCAGAGTTACCTTCCTCTCTTATTCTCATTTGCCCTCTGACATCAAAACACTGGAAGGGCCATGGGCTGCTTTTGTGCTGTTCCAGAGGAATTTTATTGTGAAGTTCTGCTTCTGGATGAATCCAAGTTGACCTTAACCACCCAACAGCAGGGGATAAAGGTAAGCCCAGCTGATTTTGTTTTTATTGTGGTTACCCATGCACTTGTCAATAGTGTTTGAAAAGCTTTGTCTGGAGTTGAGCAATAAGAAGCCAAAAAATAAAAAAACAAACAAACAAACAAAAACTGAATGAGGGAGTGCCTTAAGAACAGGCTCCAGTCTAATTACTGGGAAATGAACATGTCAAGCGGTGTTTAACTTTCCATCACATTTCATTACCTACAAAAAAGTTGCGAATAGCAAGAACCAAAAAGGAGATTTAAGACTTCAAAGCGGATGATAGGGTTTTCTGCGTAAGCCATTGTCTTGTGATTCGAATAATGTGTAATATATGTATATAACACTTCACTGAAGAAGGATATGGGAAGTAAATAAAATTTGAGACATTTAGTCCACAGAAATTTTGATGTTAATGGGGCTGGACCTTTTGAAACCTTTGATTTCTTGGTCACTGTCTTGCTTTACTATACTTTGCACTAAAGGCTTCAGACCCATAAGCCATTTGATGGCTAAACATCCATGATTTTTATTTTAAAACAATCACTTAAAATATGTGTCCATAGTCAGCCAGGGTATGCCCAGTGTTTGGCTAATAACATTTATTTATATATAAATGTGTTAATAAAATTAAATTTGGGACTTGCACAAGAGGCATTGAGTACTAGTTTAGGTGTCTGGCTGCAGAGCCAGAGACTATAATTTCAATTCCCCACTGTGCCTCCTTGACAGTGCCTTGACTTGATGATCCCGGTCCCTTCCAGTTCTGTATTATTATTAGTATTAATACCTACTGTGAGATTACTTGGGCACAAGAGTCACAGTGACACCCCTTTAAAGCATAATTTAATTTTCAAGTTCAAGATGCGCTTATACACGAACATGTGCTTCATCCTCCTGGTGTTGTTAACAGATGTAAAAGATATTTAGTTTGGGTGATTATTCCTCAAATCATGAGCATCCTATATTTGTCTAAAAGTACGGTACTACTAAGAGCAAGCATGCTATGAAAGATAGAGTGATGCAATGTGACTCAGGAGACCTGAGCTCCAGTGCTGGCTCAGCGATAGAAACTCATGGGCAGGAACACTGGTAAAACTGCTCTTTAAAGATCTCACATACTCCAAAACCCCATTAGGGTCACCACTAGTCAGATGCAACTTGATGGCATATAACATATAATAAATACTACTAAAAATCTTGAAACTGTGCTCATAAATATAAATGCAAGATCGACAAGAACCATTTCTGTAGATAGTTGTTTGCAGGCTTTGCTTTAGTATTATCTTATAGGAACTGGACCTTCTTCCTTGGGGAGGAAAAGCATATTTAGCTGACTCTGACGTATTTTTCTATTTTTATTTTTTATTTTGTTCTTTAAGAATATTATGTCTTCAAATAGATAACACTGAATAATAATAAATCATTTTGTTTGACACAAAGTACTGATTTCCTATATTTTTTTTACATGAAAATTTCTTCCAGGAAATGGAAATGATTAAAGATGCAATTCCGCACATGCTTACCTTGAATTCCATAGGGCTCATTTTCATTTTCTACTTTCATCATTTCCGAGTAGATAGGCATAAGAATGTACAGCAGAAGATCCAAATACAGTATGTAGAAGTATATTCCCTTTTCTGGGTGTGTCTGTAGTCTTATAGTGTATTATAAGATATGTGCATTATTGTGCACCTAATGGATTTAAGATTAAAAGAAGAATTACACATTCATGATGAATGAAGTTGTACAGTGACAACCATTCACCTATAACAAATAAATGTAACTATGTTGTTACAGAGCAAAAATTCCAAAATTCTCCATCAAGCAATACCTTTGTTAGGAATGAGCAAATGTGCAGAAAATAATATGTAACAAGTATGCTTCTAATAAGTATATATTCATGATTTGTTTCAGAATTTACAGTCCTGACTGAGGTTGTCTCTGGTATCTGGAAAACTGCTGTTCAGTAAATTGAAGGAGGACTTGTGCCTTAAAAAGTTAATTTCAAATGGATTTATTGCAAACTGCACGTGCTTAGCATAAGAACCTAAGTGATTCCTGAATAATGCATTTCCCCAATTCTGTGGGTGGAGTGCAGTGGATGTTAGTGGCACTTAATCATTATTTCTCACATCCATTTGCTAGTCCCACCTGGAGAGTAGACTTGTTGAATTCTGGGTCAATCCTTATGTAGATTTCATTGATAACCAATAGGATTCTAGTCATTAATGTTTTTGGGTACATCTAAAATTATTTAAATGCACACTTAAAATGTAATACTGTATGTGGATATCACCAAGCAGGCAGAATGTAAAGGTAAACCTGTTAGGGACCGAATTTAGCTGTGGCTCTATGCTTGCATGTACATAAGGTTGGAAATCAGGGTTTGCTGTCTCATAATACACAAGACAATCTTAAGCCCACTGAAGTAAATTCAACTAACGTGCATTTTTAGGCCACAGTGCAACACAATAGAAACAGGACATTTGTTCCAGAGTGAACATGCAAGGGCGTCCTTCTATTCTCAGAAAGCTTACTTAGAAATAAATGTGAGCAAGATTTTATCATGTACTTAAGGACACTGATTACATTTTAATAGGTTTAAGTGCAGTTTATGCTGAATTGTTGCCTTTATGCTACTTAGCTGCTATGGCTTCTTGCTCAAGCATAGAACCTTATGCTTACAAGTCTTGTAGAGCTTCTGAACTTACCTCTGATCAGTAATTAGGCTATCTAGATCCCAAAAAGGTTTTGTATTCAGATGAACTCTGGTTTGCAGCTCTCTTAAGGTGTGTCATGGAGTTGAAGCTGTAGTATGCAGATTAAGAGTTTACCATGGAACCAGTACTTTAGTTTGCATACTGGGATTTTTGGGGGGTAAATTTAAAAGTTTATGCAGTGGGTCAAATTGCTGGTCTTGTTCAGTGTTGGAAGATAATCCCAGGACCATTTCCATATTAGAATTAAAATCTGTGGAAAGGTATCTCCATCCTAGCCCTGAAGGCTTTTGGAAGTTGTAGTTTAGTAATGTACTGAGCATTACCTAGTGAAAATTCTGAGTGCCCTTCACAAAAATACAGTTTCCTAAATTCCTTCATCATCTAAAGCAGGGTCAGGGAACTTTTTTACCTTTTACCCCCTAAAAAATTTATATACGCCAACATTACCCCCTTGATTTAAAGGGAGGATCTCAGTCACGCACAGGCAGTCGAGCGCTGCCGCTGAAGCCTTGTCGCCCGCACCCGGGCCTCCTCCTCTGCCTGGCGGGGCCGCACTCGGTCCTTGGCCCCATGGGGGTGGCTCCCTTTCTCTGCCGGCAGGCGGCTCCTGGGCAGCCATTGAAGAGCAGCAGGTGGCTTGTCCGCTGGGGGTGCCCAACCCCGTCTGCCACTCTGGCACCTGCTCTAGTAGCTGCCGCGACAGCTGCTGCACAGAGGGCAAGAGGCTCTGCCAGGCCCAGCCAGCTGGTGTGGAGGCGCCGCTGAAGGAAGCTGCGCAGCCAGGCGAGCGCTGCTGCCGCCCAGCGGGCTCCTCCAGGAACAGGGATGGGGCGTGGGGCGGCGGCGGTATCCCGGTGCCAGGAGGCTGAGCCTGCTCCGGCCACTGTCGTGGCCATGCCCGCCACCCTCCGCTGTGATCCACCTCTCCAGGCACTGGAAGGAGAGGCTTCTCCTGGTCAGTCACCCACTCCTCGCCCTCCGCCATGGCCGCCTCTGCCTCGGCTGCCATACGCCACCCGCCAGGTCCTGTCACTGGCCGCCATCCACCATGGCTCGGTTGCAGCCAGGCCGGAGAAGGGGGTGGGAAGGGGACGATTGGGCAGCCAGAGGCCCCCCTCTGGACAGAAGAGAAGGTTGAGGAGGAGGAAGGAAGGGGGTTAGGGTCGTGTCCTCATTACCCCCAGGATTTTCATTTTACCTCATTTGGGGTAATTTACCCCTCTTCCCTGACCACTGACTTAAAGTCTTCAGTCCTATGTATATTGACCCAGAGTAAGTACCCTTAAAGGTTACGGAGTTATGCGGAACTTCATTTCAAGTAAATATGAGAAAGCTCATGCTGCAGGTTTGTAGACTTTAGTATGCATGACTTTATTTGCAACTAACTCTTAAAACTTCGAAAGTGTGGAATCAGTGGAATCATTGGAACAAAGAACAAATATTGAGATGGTAGAGGAAAGATTTTGAATAGAAGTAGCCTTTGATGTCTTGTTTTGCTTGTATTTTGGACATGAGATCAGATTTATATCTAGTGTTCTTTATTTATTGATTTAACTTTTATACCGCCCAATGGTGCAGCCCGCACTCTGAGCAGTTAACAACCAAGGCATATAAACTGCAAATAATACAATAGCAGTTGACAAAAAAAAGATAAAATAAAACCACATGACTCACTGAATCTGACATAAGTAAATAGATTTAAACCACAGTTGGACATTAAGTGACACACATTAATAAAGGGAAGCTTTAAACAATTCTGTTTTATGTAGCTTCAGAAAAACTGGGAGGGTGGGTACTTGATGAACCTCTGTTGGTAATTTAATCTGAAGGCCTCAATCAAAATGCCTGGTTTCTGGTGGTAACTTTCTTGGCCTCCTTAGATGTTGCTGTTTTTGACAGTAATGAGTGCAAGGAACAGGTTGGATAGGTAGCTGTTTTGAAGGAGGGAATTCTGGCAGGTACAGTGGTGCCTCTTATTTGCAAAACGAGGAATTTGCTAGACAATGATTTTTTTTGAGCAATGTTGTGTTTCACAAAACAGTTGTTCCCATATGTTCCTATGGGCAATTTTCACTGGACTATGATTGGGTCCTTGCCTTGCAAGACAGTTTCCCCCCAATTGGAACACATTAATTACATAAGACCTATTTTTTATCCTAAAAAAGTGGGGGAGAAAGTGTATGCTGCTGGTTTTCCAGGAAAAACAGCAGCATACACTTTCTCTCCCACTTTTTTGGGATAAAAAAGTAGGTCTTATGTAATTAATGTGTTCCAATTGGG